CCCAGCCCCCCCAAGCGGACGAGCGGCGCCGGGGAGGGGGGCGGGGCTGTGGGCAGGGGGCGGGCGGAGGCTCGCCCCTCAACGGTCGCCCCAGAGGAGCGACGCGGGACGGGTGAGAGCGGAGTGGGTCCGCCGTTAGCTGGAGACGTACCAAAATGACCACTTCCTTTTTGCCTGTGTTTCTCAGCAAAGAGATGCCCGAGCCGATGCCTTCCCCGCGGCAGGATTTCACCAACCCGGCGAGAGTTTTTCCCGCAGGGTCCCTCTTGTTCACCTGAGGTGATTTCCTGCTGCAAAGCCCTTTCAAACAACAGCTCAAAATGGTAAACGATGATGTAAATATGGATGTTCTTCTTGCCCCATCTTTCTTAAGCTAAAGGTGTATTAAATTAAAAAGGCCTGATGTCTCTTCTGGGCCTGTGTGTGAATCATGAACAGGGTCTACATACAAGTCAAGCAGGGCACTAACAGGCCTGTTGGTCGGTGGGAAGCTCAGCGCCTGCAATGCCAGTGACGACACGAGTAATTCATTGTGTGCGTTCACTGCGCGGTGAAAGACGTGTCCCTGTTCTTTACTTCTCTGCCTTCCTGTGCTGTAATTCAAGTGGTAAAATGAACCTGACGTGAATCCAGCACTTAGGCAGACTGAGAGGCAGATAATGGGTCATTTTGCTCTCTTGCTTCAATGTAGCAGAGTAGGGGGGGAAGAGGGCCAACGTGCAAAGCGTGCGCGCAAAACCTCAGCACAGACATCGGTTCTGATTAACCCAAAATGTTTTGCCTCGCATCCCCTGAAAACCCACAAGGACTGAAACTATTTACATTTTAAAAGTCAAATGTGAGCAGTTGCAAAAATGGATGGCACGGATCAGTGGAGCTGATGAACTACAAAGTACAAAAGACAAAAAAAAACCTTTTCTCAACGCGCCAAGAAACTTACTGGGAGTAAGGAGAGGGGAGAAAAGCCTTCGTGTCTGATGAGGAGAAGGATGCTAATAGGTAACTTGTGCCCTCTTAAAAACGTAAGTAATAAGTACCCGTCTGTAGATTACTGAAGAATAAGTGGGAGCATGACACTGCAAGCGCTAAAAGTAAAATCCAGCCATCTGAAGGGAGTTCTTTAGGAAGACTACTGGAATCTCTTTTATGGTAACACTGATTGTACTAAACTGATATAAAAAGAAGATGAAAATAAGGAGAAGACTACCTTTTCAAAGAGATAAACTTTCCTGCCTTTTCACTAGAGAACAGAAAACACCTCTGCATAGTTTCTTTGATCCTTGAAATAATTCTTGAGCAAAGTCAAGGGACATGAGATCAGATCTTAGAAATATCTGATCCAAGTAAAGAAAGAGAAACCTCTGAGGTTTTATACAGACGTCATAAAGGTGCCAAAAGGTCATCAGTTATTAGTTTATCCTACTTCAACTTATTTCTAATTTTCACATTAAAGTAACTTGGAAATGTATCTTTCTGATCACACATTCTGATACTTGGAAATAATAGAATTCAAATAGGAAAGACCAACC